AGTATTTCTGGTCAAAATCTGTAAAGTTCTGTTAACTTACATTTGAATGGATACTATTTGTTTGTTCTGCAGTATTAGATAGTGATACTCACCATTGTCTCATTTATTTGTCCAAATAACTTTTTGTCCCATTTAACCATGGATGTTGGGGTTTTTTTTAGGACAGCAGAAATTAATGATATTTCAAGTCCGAATTTGTATTTTTTTTCTGAAGTCATTAATACATTTTAAGCTTTGTCTTCCTCAAAGAGAAACCTGTATTCTAGCAATACCATCATGTGGAATAGATTTTGTCTTGATGATTAGTAACCAGATGTAGGATAATAAACCAGAGCATAGAAACACTTTAATAGAGATCACTTGTTTATACACATTGATTGCAATATTATTTTCTACATCTCTCATCATTGGTACATTGTACTTGTTTACTTACTTTGCTTTAAGTCTTTGCTGTAACAGATGGAGAGAGACAGAGTGGCTTTGGGATGTCTGCATGTGTATTTGTGTGTATAAATGCATGTGTATTTGTGTGTTTAAATGCATGTGTATTTGTGTGTATAAATGCATGTGTATTTGTGTGTATAAATGCATGTGTATTTGTGTGTATAAATGCATGTGTATTTGTGTGTATAAATGCATGTGTATTTGTGTGTTTAAATGCATGTGTATTTGTGTGTTTAAATGCATGTGTATTTGTGTGTATAAATGCATGTGTATTTGTGTGTTTAAATGCATGTGTAATTGTGTGTATAAATGCATGTGTATTTGTGTGTATAAATGCATGTGTATTTGTGTGTATAAATGCATGTGTATTTGTGTGTATAAATGCATGTGTATTTGTGTGTATAAATGCATGTGTATTTGTGTGTATAAATGCATGTGTAATTGTGTGTATAAATGCATGTGTATTTGTGTGTATAAATGCATGTGTATTTGTGTGTAAAAATAGCAGCATCTATATCTTATGTTCTCTCTTGTATGTGATCATCTTAAATTCCAGCAGTTCATTGTAGCAAGAAAGTTTTGATAAATGCATAATTTTCAGGTTGCTATTGAAAGATAAGATATTTAGTGATAAGAAAGAGACAAAAACAAAGGTGATTAAGAAAGAGAGGAATGAGGATAAAGTGGTGGTTCAAGGGGAAAAGGAAGAAGAGGAGGAGCTAATTGACCCCCTACCTGCAAAGCTGAAGAAATGTGTTGTAAGTGGTGGTTTTCATTTTACATAATTACTTTTTTTTTCCTATATAATCCATAATAGTCAGATCCATTTCAAGCATTTGGCATATTGGCCTTGATCAGAATCTTTTGCTGTATTGTTGATTATATTTTTGATGGCATTCCTCTTCCATTAAATTGAAAGTATTTGTAATGATAGGAGAGGTTCTAGGTGATGGAAAAAAACTCGAAAACATAAAAGAATGTAAGAATGTATTTTTTCCTCCAAGGTAAATTTAATCATTGATAGTATGAATGGATTTTAATGTAATTTTATATATAAAAAAGAGGATGTTTTATTTGTCTAATGATAGTGCAGCAGGTGGATTGAACCCAGCCAACCAGTTGATTTTATAATGTTTTATTAGTGTTTTCTTTGATTGTATCAGTTCATGACATTTTTTATCATTCTCCATTTGGATTATTTTGAAATGATTAAATATTCAAACTTTTTCAAAATTTCTTGGCTACATTTTGAAGATCAAGTCAACTTTTGTGTTCATATTTTTTAATTCTGTCAAGAGTATACAGGTGCACTTTTCTGTAATATTTCTTCATTTATTTCTTGTCTTTAGAGTGAGCGTTTGCAGTCGGACCTGCTCATCAGTGTAGTAATATTGATTTTGGTGTTTGCTGTCCATGTCAGCACCGTCTTCACTTCACCAAATCTTCAGGTAACCTGATCATGTTGGGGAACACAGAGGTCTCACTAGAATTTTATAACTAGGAGGCCAGGACTCCTTAAAATGGTAAAAAAAAAGAGTCCCACCAGCAAAAGTTGCAGTCCGAACTAAGCCAGAAATCACGTACTTTATTACACTTGGCTACAGTTGCATCTGAACTATCAGTTATAGCAACTTTAGCACAGTTCTGAGTCTCATTGAAATCTTCATCATTTTTCCGTTTAACTACAAAACACATGTCTAAATTTGCAAGCAGCATTTTGTCCAAGTCTCTTGATTTCGAGTTCACAGGCAATATTTATATGGCAACAACCGGAAATGAAATCAATAACATTGATTGCCCTGGGCTTCACCAATATTGCAAATTGTAATTATGTTTTACATATTTGCGACAAAATATACCTTCTGGCCATATTTTTGGCAACAACATTTTTGGCTGATAAAGACCATATATACAGTCTCGAATTTGGAGTGGAGAAATTCAAAGGCAACATGACAGGAAGCCGCAAGTTTGGATATAAAAATGCACTGGAATCAATTGTTTCATATTGACAAACCACCCTAACAGTTAATTGTTATGTCATAATCCGCTTGTTGTGATCTCTTGCCTTGATACTTGTATGCTGAAATATAATCAAACTAGCCATGCAACTGGCTATTAAAAAAAGTTCAAGCCTACTAACCCGTTGGTTTGTACCCCCTACTGATTTCAATAACGGAAACCTTTAATTTGATAAGACATGCAATGAACTTAGTCAATTCATTCATTGATTTATATTTTCTAACCAGACTGTGAGAAGAATGGCACCGTCATTGCACGTTTCATGCTTAACGAAAGTTTTCAATATTATAGACGGACATGCCTGAGACCCATTTCCAGTTCCTGGACAAGTCCATTTTCAACAAATGGTTGTATGCGTGATTAAAGATGTACATACATATGTCGTCTGCTTCCACTATTTACAGTGTCAGATCAAGCAAAGGAAAAGAATGACAAAAATTGTGTTTCACGTGAATTTAACAAGTGGTTTCATTAATATGTTCATGTGTGCAAAGGAATATAATTCCAAATTCAACATTATTGCAATTTATGGAATTATCCAGCAGTTACCGAATGGGATGAATTAAATCATTATGTTGTCGGATGGAAATAAACTACCCCATAGTGTATGTAATAATGCGCCGTGTTAGTATGGAAAGTCCAAGAAGCTTGAAAGGTGCAAGGAGATGCCAGTATTAGTGCCATTTTGGTCACAGTCAGGTTAGAAATTATAAATCAATGATTCAATTGACTTTGTTCTGTGCACTTTTTATCACATTAAACTATTTAGTTATTAAAATCGGTAGGGGTACAAACAAATGGGGATGTAACATCGGACTATAGCTACAATCAACCGCCTCTGAGGGCAGAAACGTGAAATGACTGCAGTTGACTACACGATGGCAATTTAAAAAAAAAAAACCAGAAAAATAGTTTTGCTGCAACTTCAATGAAAACTGATTACTTCTGTATCCCCGATATATGCTAAGGAAATTTTTTAAAAATTGTGTCAATGTTCTACAATTCATTTGATGTTGCCGCAAATGGGTGTTTGTTTTGTCTGTCAAAGGGAGCCTATAGCAGCGCCTTTTAATGCAACACATGCACTTTCATCAAAGCAAGCAGGTGACCTTTGATCAAAGAAGTCAAGAACAAACTAAAATAAAAAAATTGCTTCAGTTTTCATAGTGATTAGATCATATTTATTTTGCCTTTAAAGTTTCCTCCATGCAATAAAAACGTGCGTACGGAGGACTCCTATGTAGGTGATTTTCTGCGTCCCAAATCAAAAATTTGCATCCAGTTACGCGTAATTAAGCGTTTCCAAGATCTCTGGAACATTTTGAACCAATTCCACAGATAACTTGAATATGTCAGGCATTCACTTGGAACAAAATGAACATGTTGGGGAACGTTATGAACCAACGTTATGAATCTGACCAGAACACCTCATGCACATTGTGAACCTTTGCACAGAGAAATGGCTTAAAATTATAAAACCCTTATTTTATGGGCAAATCATTTGCAGATAAACTAATAGATAGCAGTACTATCAGTTGCACTTTTTGCACAAAAATGCATAAATCCAAAATCTTGAAAAGCATTTGTCAGACTTCAAATATATTTCTAAGGTAAGAGGTCATTTTACTGCATGTAACTTTGTTTATTTATTCACCTCTTATACTTGAAGCAAATAATGTTAGTTAAGGCGAAAAGGTACCGTATTTGTTGCAAATTTTCATACATGTGAAAATGAATATTTCTTTCAATGTATGAGAAATGATGTGTAAAAATAAAATCATTTTGGGATGAGATTGTGTAGAAGGAAAGAAAGGACCTGACAGTGAGATTTCCAAAGTATCTACATGACTTTCAATATTCAATTCATGTACGCTTGATTTAGTTACACTGAAGCATGCATTAGTAAAATTTGTTGCTTGCTCACATATGTGTGTTGGAATATACAGATTTGAAAAGTGGTAAGTATAACAGACATAGGTGTTCCACCTGATGATCAAAATAAAATAAGCACTAACATAAAAAGAGAGAGAAAGGGAGAGATTGAAGCCCTTCATCATGCCATTTGTCTTATTTTAAGCTGTAATTCTGAGACTGCAGATGCAAACTGTTGTCAAGATGAATTCACACAAGGTTTATGTATTTATACAATTCACATTAAAAGTTAGGTTATGATTGTTTATCTCATTGTTTTCACTTACAATGAACTTTTTTTTTTTTTTTTACATTAATTAAAGTCACAGCCAGTCAACTTTAAGTGGTGTTACATATCAGACAATGTGCCCAGTTCCAGTCATTTGATGTGATTATGATATTTAACATAGCTTTTTAACAATTTTTCAGTCATATTGCTACAATGTCTGCTAGTGTGGAAGTTTATAGTGATGTCTAGCACTGGGGCATCATGCCACAGACATGTAGCATGATGTCCCACCCAGTCACATTATCCTGACATCAGGCCGACCAGTCCTAACACTAGCCTCTTAATGCTGAGCATCAAGCGAGGCAGTTGTTAGTACCATTTTTGTAAGTCTTTGGTATGACTTGACTGGGGATCGAACCCACGATCTCCCATATCCGAGGCGGATGCTCTAACCACTAGACCACTGGAGTGGTAATTCCAGTCATGACAGAGCTGGACATTAGAAACAAACACCCACTGGCCAATAAATAAGTCAGTTAGTCAAATACATGATTGTGTAAAATAAAATACTAAAAGTAATTTTGCACTGAATGGATAAAAGCACATTAAATATTAGACCCAAACAAGAAGATGATGGGAAAGAGAAAGTAATAACAGTAAAAACTAATTTGATCAGAATATTTTCACTAAGCCAAGGAAAACTTGTGTAATTTTTAAAAAACTTTCTGCACTTCACATTTGTTATTTTATTTAATCCTTTTACAACTTAAATGGCAGTGCAAATGTTGATTTTTAAAAATTCATTGTGACAAGTTGAGATAGTCTGCAGTTAAAATAAACTTAATATGAATCTTAGTAATATGTAAGATTTTAAAGATGTTGACATATATGCCCCATAATTGTTGAATTGGGAGAGTTATGTTAATATCTTGATGACTTTTGTTGGTTTTTTTTCATTCTTGTGAACTAAAGATTTGCCCTCAGATTTCCAGATTTAACTCTTGGGTTTTGAAATCCAAGGCAATATCTGCCCAGGTTTGAAATTCTGTGTAAAAACTTTGTTCTTTAACACAAATAGTAATGAAAAAATTACTTGTCATTCCAGCCCTTGTTGAGTGATATCCTTTACTATGTGGTGGCGAGCTTTGGTTTCCTAATCCACTACCTGATTCCGCAGCTACGCAAGGAAATGCCCTGGCTCTGCTGCTCCCACCCATTGCTCAAGAGCTTTGAAAGAAGCTTCTTTGAAGTTCAAGGTAAGTGTTGCACATTGCTAATTTAATGACAGTGTAGTATCCACTTGAACTTTTTGATTAATCTGGTTAATGAAAATTAGGTCCATGTAATACTCTGAACTATTCTATTTAAATCTACTGCAGAATCCCTACCTCAGATGGAGGAGGTCATAGGTTTTAACCCTAGTCAAGTCATACCAAAGACTTTCGAAAATTGTACTAACAGCTATGTCGCTAAGTGCTCAGCATTAAGAAATTAGTGTTAGGACTGGTCAACTTTGTGTGAGGATAATGTGAATTTTTTTAAAGTTAATAGTCCAAATCATGTCACATATTATGATGATGATAATGATTATTATTATTATTATTATTATTATTATTATTATTATTATTATTACCTGCTGTATGTCCATGGAATGATGATGTTATCCTTTTTGGTATAGTTTCAGCTCATCTTGGGGGTTACTTTCATGTGTTTATTAAAACACAGCTCTTGTTTAATGTATTTGTTTGGTACATATCTTATAAATGGCTTTACTTTTTTCTTCAGGCCCAGCAAAAATAATGTGGTTTGAGAAGCTGTATGTATGGATGCGGTTCATTGAGAGAAATGGAATGTACCCAGTCATCATACTTTGTGCCTTAACAAGATCTGTTCCAAAGATTTTATGCAAATTTGGCAACAAGTAAGTTTGTTTGAATTATATTAATTTACAGCTTTGTTCCTAATGTAGGAGTGCATACAATTAGACATTTCCAGTCTTGTTTTTTCAATATTTTATTATCAAGTCATTTGCTATTTCAGATATGTTCTTATTCTTTTTTGTTCCAAATGATATAATTTACACTTTGTAACTTTGGGATTCCATAGATAACTGAAAGTGTACAATTTTTTTTAAATATTTGCATCATATGATCAAAACAAAACATGGTAATGATTTAAGTTTAACATTAAATACAATATTTCTAAGATAAATAGACTCTACAAGATACTCAGTGAATCAGTTTGACAGAATTGTTAATTAAGTTCTCAAGTTTTCTTATCCTAAACATTCTGATGAGTTGTACACAATTTGTTTAACATGTTTGAGCAGGCTGTGTTTGCAACAACAAAATATCACTGACTATCAGATTTATTTTGTAGTAGAAGGCAACTGTGAAGCTTGAAGTAAGACTTTTCAAGCAATGGATTAATCAGGTTCCTTTTCAAAGTTATACAAACCTGTATATCCCTATTAATAAAAAAAAATGTCTGTAAATTTTATACAAAACCAATTGATTATTTGCAGTTTTGGACCCTTGATCATTGTCATTTGTGGACTGAAGCTACTAAGATTTGCCTTTTCCAACACTCCAAAACAACATATGATCCTTGCCTTCACCGTCTTCTTCTTCAAGTATGATTACAGTTGGGCTACAGAGTCATTCCTTATTGATTATTTCTTCATAGCCATCCTATTCTGTAAAGTAAGTACATCATTTTGTTCATTTTGTTTCTTTTTGTGATTTTTATCTGTCAGCTTGCTTTAAAAGTAGGTGATATAGCAGATTTAAATGTGAATTGGCAGATTTCAGAAGCCTCCCAAAATGTCAACTGCTAGATTTCAGAAGCCTCCCAAACAAATACCATAAAAACTAGAATAACTTAAAGACAAGATTTGTTTCTTTTTATTTTCTCAAATTATTTTTTTGTAGTTACACTTAGTTTCTGTATGGTTTACATATACTTTATAAGTGCCAATATAATTTTCTTTTTTTATTGTGTCAGCCAGTAAGAGTTTCTGAATTTCCATATGTAGCCTGGATCATAATTAGCCTGGGTTTTACTCCATGTCGGATCAAAAAGTATTTGTTACATGAAAGTGTTAAAAGAAGTTCAGAGTGAATCAATTATTCTAAATGAGCTATTTATCTCGTATTTTATTTGGAAAATGCAAACCTGGGAACACATGCAAGTGATTAGTGCCTAAAATATCTCCATTTTGTTTAAATCAAACAGATTAGCCTATAATTGTTGTGAAATCTTATGCTCCCACTGTAATGGTAGAATGGACATAATATTTTGTTGCTGTCCTTCAATATGTCTGCATATATCATTTCAGTGTGAGTGTACAAATAAAAGCATGAAAGTTCACACACTTCATCATGACCATAAGTAAATAACTTATTTAGATTTTCAGGCTATTAGTTCAATTTTTCATCCATTTAAAACTTATTTTTTAACTTTAAGACCTTTTTTTACAACAATCTTATAACCATTATTAAGCAAAATCCATGTGAAATAGACAGTGATGTTTAGTAGGCATATTTATATTTTTGTGTATATAACTTTTTTTTGTGATTAGGGCAGGTTTTTGAATTTTTGGAACATAAATCTTTTAGCAGGGTTAAGCAACTTTTGTCTGTACTCACTTATAAGTTGCACATATGCAGATTTTTCTTCACATAATATGTTGGTCTATTTGGGTCTTTGCAAAAAATTATAAAAAATCAGTAGAACAAAGAACAATGATCCTGATACACTAGTGTATTATACAACAGTAGATTAGGGTACATGTTGCTTGCAGTCGGACTGGATTTATAAACGAGTATATATAGTACTTGAGGTAAACAAATACATTGTGTATGCATATTTTTATTCATACGTAGGTGACCTATGTGTGTGTATGTTTGTATTACTAATTATTTTTAATCATGCAATTGTAATTTTCAAATAGTTGGCAGTTTTTATCTTCTAAAGTTCGAGTGTTTGGTTTGCATTGGGAGTAGATGTGTTTTACAAACACGAATCTTGTTTTATTTCAGTTCTGTGATTTATACCTGAAGATGAAGTTCATCATTACGTACATCGCCCCATGGCAGATAACATGGGGATCTGCCTTTCACGCATTTGCTCAACCTTTCAGTGTGCCTCGTATCCTTACTGTAGACATGTAGCTGTATTTTTTGTTAAGGTTTGCACTAGAGAAGAGTTGATCATGTTTCCAAATTTCAGAATATCTGATTGATTACATCTTTCTCTGCAAGTATTGAGAAAAATTTGGTCTCTTGAGCTTTTTACACATTACAAGATGAAGTCTGTGAGTAGTTTGATGAGTTGAAAGAATAGATGGTATAAATGAAATAAGGTATAATTTTTGATAACTTCAGTGACATGTTTAAAATGTCAGAATCATAGTTAATATGTCTGTGTTTCACATAAAATGTTTTGAAGATTTTGTATTATGGTGATGTATAGTGTTGTATTAAAATAGGCAAATAATAATGAGTCACTAGCTCCTGCCATTTAAAAATAAGATTGTCTTACCATTCAGTTTTCCTATTCCCTTAACAATTTCTCAGATTCAGCAATGCTTTTCCTCCAAGCAGGAGTCTCAGCACTTTTCTCAACTCCTTTAAACCCGTTCTTGGGTAGTGCAATATTTTTCACATCCTACATTAGACCTGTGAAATTCTGGGAAAAAGATTACAAGTAAGTCATCTTTGCTTTGTAATACTTGTGTTGTATTCCTTGATACTCTATGAACTTTTATGAATATATAATTTAAAAAATCAAATGTGAACAGGTCTGTTGTCATTGCTAAAACAAGTTACCATTTTAAATACAGTGGTCCTCCTTATGAACACCCCTACCAACCAACAGCCACCCACTTTTCATGGCTACAATCCCTTGGCACAGATGAGTTTATATTCAAAAGGACATCTCAAGAAAGGCTTCCCCTCTAATGTAACCAGTGGACAACATATTAGTACAAAAATGTCAAATGTCCCCCTCACAAGTGGCCATATTTTTATTATTGATATGTGTCCAGAACCAGTATTTAATTCATACTGTAAGTTAAGTAATCCAATTGTCTTTCCCAGTTTCTGTTTCCGGATGTCAGGTTTTCTTTACTCAAAGAAGTGCTGGCTAAAGTATGTGTACTACTAAGGTTAGCATTATTATCACTGATGTTTAAAGGAAATGGGGTCAGCAATGTTTTGATAGTTTTGGGCTTCACACAGGTTTTTAAAATTTGTTATAAATTTTTTTAACAGACTGGTTATAATTTACAAGATCATAACATGGGCTGCATAGGCTAAATATAGATTTTATGAATTGACATGCACAGGGAAATTAACCTTGAACAAAACTGGGTACCAGACATAGACTGTTAATATCATGTGTCTGTATATGTATCACATCCTTGATAAACCAGGATTTTTGTTTACTCTACAAAAGTTTCATT